AGTAGCAATGGTCGAATGAATTCAATGAGGAGGAGGTCAAGTTGGACTAACATTTATTAAGGGCGCGCCCCCGAGGGCAGTGGGCCTAAGCTATATTTAGGGAAGCACCAGGAGGAGCAAACGGAGAAATAACAGGAAGGAAAGGAGCAGGTCCAGATGATAAGATAGGCTATGCGAAACCCAGGAATACAGGGAAGGACACAAAATTATCACTAGATTAGGAATAGTAGGAGGCAAACCAAGGAAGGCAGAGGAAGGAGGGCGGAGGAGGGAGGGGGCATGATTGTAGCCTTGCCTGAGCGATTCCACAGAGTATGGGTATCTGAATCCACGGATTAGTGGCGGTTGAGTGAAGCAGCCGAAGATGGCCCAGACCAGGCAGGAAATCAGTGCCTGCAGGAGAAACCTGAGTTGATCAGCTGAGATGACGGGGGGGAAGAAGCGGAGGAAGGTGAAGCAATGAAAGTAAGTTCAAAAGAAGATATATCAAGCCAGCCGTAGTTGAATGACAGGGGAAAGAAGGAAGATCAGAGCGCCACTGAGCCTCTCATTTAGGCTAGGGAATAGTAAATCCTGAATTGACTGAATGAACAATATGCATTGAAGGGAATATGCAGGAAAAAATCCGGACTTCAGAAGGAGCAGGAGGAGAAATTCTCCCTTTCACTCAGCGAAGGAGTGGCAGTCAAGGGGTTCGAGAAGATCCAGGGGCAAAGGGAGGATCAGAACAGGGCGTAGTGGGACGGGGAGGAACGGACGATTAAGGAAGAGTTGGGGTCACGAGGAAGCAGAGGAAGACATTAGACTGTGATGATTCCGGAGTTGAGAATATTCCAGGGAGGGTGGGGAAACCGATCGTGATCAGCCTAAAGGGGAAGGGAGCAGAAGGAGTACAGAGGCGTTGTCTAGGTACCATTAGCCGAATTGAGGACTTTAGGTGATTTTGAGAGGGGGCTAACTGATAGTGAAAAATAAGGGAGTAAGGTTAGTATAGAATTTCTCATGCATGAAGGGAAAGATAACCCAAGCAACAAGCGAAGCGGATCGATCGGCCAGGAGGGGAAGCACTAGCCGTAAGATGGAATAGGTGTAGAAATAAGTGAGGGACGGCCTAGGCGGGGCCAGTTAATGGAATCCAGTAGAGTCAGCAGGCTGGAAAAACGATTCGTGGCAAGAAAGAAAGCAGCACTGAGCGGACCATGAAGGTAGAAGGGGGGGATCTCTCCTCCACCCAACAATGGGGGGCAAAGAATTATTAGGACTGGAGGGGGCGCAGTTACGAGACCAAGGAGAGGAAGTCGTGCAATGGACTAAGGAGGTAGTAAGTTGCCCCAGCATCCAGCAGGCTCCTGTAGCTGGAGGAGGAGAGAGGAGAGTGAAGAAGCAGAAGAGCGAGGGATAGCGGATAGGACGGGAAGGGGAAGACTAGAGGAGACTCAACCAGACGCCTTGTTCCGTCTACTCCTAATAGGAACAAAGGTGCAGTAGAGGTACTGTAAGGGGAGAAGCAGCACAGGGCCTATATTTCCAGCACTCGGACAAGTTGAATATGAACTCGGAGGGAATAGATCTCCCTCGAGAAGAACGAAAGGAAGAATATACAGGCGCCCTTGGGCTCAGAGGAGAGGATCTACAAAGGGATTTGATGAGTAGGAGGATTAGATGAGGCAGCTCTCAGGTGTAATCCAGGGCAACATTAACAAGAATTGATGCAACGAGAACCACATGAATACGAGGAGTAGGGGGGTCTATCAGAAGAGAAGTTAACGTATCCGGGATGAGCAAGATAGAGAAAGAATCCCGACGAGATACAGGAGTAATTTATATAACGAGACTACAAGAACGGCTAGGGGACGACTTTCTAGTGTATAAGTCAAAGGGGGGGGAGGCGCCTGAAATGAGCATTTAATTCAGGAATATATTAATTTGCTCTACTGAAGTGCGGAACCGATACAGCCTTAGATCCAACCACGATCAAAACAAAACAGGGTTACATAAGATGGGAGCATCTGTCTTTGGAAGCTATATCCGATCAATTAAGGAAACGATCGGCAGAATAGGAGGCTGCGGGCGGGGCTCAGGGAAAGGGACCCCCGCCTGCAAGTTATTCAAAGATAAGTCAAGTATCAAAAGAGTGGGAGACTGGGAAGGTGAGAACATTCCAGGCAGTTGGGATACGTGGATGACAGGATATTTGTCTCGGATGAGCAGGAATATCTGTATTATGGCTGAATTGTGGATCACAGGTCTGGATCTGAAATATCAGGGCGGAAGTCGAGTCTTAGGCGGAACATGTAGCTATCCAGATTTCCGGCAGTTTATGAAGCAAGGGGGGGGAGGAAGTCAATGTGAAGTCCAGGTACAAAAGTCTCACTGGATACAGCTAATGACAACCCCTGAATTAAATATGAAGCAGGAGAACCAGAAGGAGTTACAGTTATGTATGGAAATAGTTAAGATTCTGATGTTAACCTTACAAATAAAGAGAAAACACTCCAAATTGAACGTTGACTCAGACTCGCAGCAGGAAATATGTGAGAAGGCGTATAGAGAACTGAAAGACTGGGGAGGTGAAGAATTGGCCCTGAGGATCATGAGTGCTTGGTTCATCACGGACGACTGGCCAAAAGCGTATAAGGAAGAATTACCGTTGGCAGGTAGGGATATGTTTGAGATCATAACAGAGGAAATAATGGGCCTGGATTCCGGCATCAAGGGGTTAACGTGCAAGTATATCGGGGAGCAGCAGAAACCTGGGGCTTCGGGGATAGTACCTGTTAAAACAGTTTGCACGGAGGATGTTAAGGGGGCCTCAAAATTCGTGGAAAAGGAGTGGCAGACGGAAGAGTTGGAGACGAGGGCAGGTGAACAGGAAAGTATATTACAACAGGTGAATCAAGGACTGAATAGGAAGAACAATTCGGAACAGGGAGCCCCTGCACACCCAGGGGAGCCACCCAGAGGCGCGCATATGGCTGGCATTATTGGGGGGGCGATATTGACTCTGGCACTCACCTGCCTCAGTGTTTATGGCCTAATTAGAATTTTTCGACCAAGAGAGCGTCGGAGATTGATCCCTCTGTGGACAAGGAGGAGTAATGGAAGGATAAGGTATACTGCTGGACGGGGAGGATAGGTGGGAACTTCATGAATCCAGTGGCTAACCTCTGTCA